TAACTCTTTCGTTCAAATTGTGCTTCTGTTTTTTACTGAATTTGGGTACAAGAATTTTGGGTTTTTGTTTTTACGTTTCCCCATTTTGGTTTCTTCTTGAAGTTTGAAACTTTGGAGTTGACAGAATTGTAACATTGGATATTGATTCATTGAAACTGAATTTTGATTAATCTGTTAATGTTTTTCCTTTTCAGGAGCCCTTTTTGTGTATAGAGTGTGTGTTGAACTGAATGCTTGTTTACTTCTATTTCAAGTGTAATGCTCAGTTTTCCCTTTTGTTGCTTGGAAAAATGTGCAACAGGAATACTAGGAATAGAGAGATGGGTAGCCAAATCCCTGGAACTAACGATCGTACGAGGACATATTGGACGCCTACAATGGAACGGTATTTCATTGATCTTATGCTGGAGCAGATGCATAGAGGGAATAGGATTGGGCATACATTCAGCAAACAAGCCTGGACAGACATGCTTACCGTGTTCAATGCAAAATTTGGATCACAGTATGACAAAGATGTCTTAAAAAGTCGTTATACAAACTTATGGAAGCAATTCAACGATGTAAAGAATTTACTTGGTCAAAGTGGGTTTTCTTGGGATGAATCTCGACAAATGGTGGTAGCTGATGATTATGTCTGGAATGCCTACATCAAGGTGTGGCACCTTCCGCTATTCGCTTGTATTAGATACTTGTCCGCATTCATTATAGTAAAATATTTGTAAGGTACATGCAGGCTCACCCAGATGCACGATCTTACAAGACGAAAGCAGTGCTGAATTTCAGTGATTTGTGCTTGATATATGGGTATACAACTGCAGATGGAAGATATAGTCGATCTAGTCATGATTTGGACTTTGATGATGAAGTCCAGGGGGTAAATATGGGTGTGTATCAGTTTTATTTCATAAGCCTCAACTGTGATTGTACCTATGGTTTCAACTGAAAAGTATGTGCTTCATATTGTAGGCCACTGTGGTTCTGGTTATGGTGGGTAATGCTTCCTTTCTATGAATAAAAGAGAAGAATGAGGAGAGAAAACTAAGGAAATAGTAGATGTTCTATGTTTTTTGACTGGATCAGGAAGTAGAAGGAACTCGGTCCTTGAAGTTGGGCAAAAGAGTTCATTGACTATTTGCGAAGTTGTAAATGATCCCAAGTCACTTTTTGTGCAAACATTCAGCAATTAATCATTAAGTCTCTTCCCATAAGTAAGAAATATGCCACTAAGTTGCAATTTCTCATAAGCTAAGCTAAACTACTTCAGTGTTTGTATTTAGTTTGCCTTTTTTTTCCTTGGAAAGACTCTTCTTAATACTTTGTGGTAAAAATGACCCTGGTGAACAAATATGTCTTGGTTGTGGGAAAAGCAAATTCTGAATCTGTTATTTGACTACTCTCTTCATTTTTTAATATATATAAATGATTTATATGCTAACATAAGATAAATTCTTTCACTTACATGTTCCCCATTTTTAGGTGATGGAATGGGTAGTCTTCCCTCCACCAATAATGAGCGTCCAAGAACTGAATGGAATGCAGACATGGACCAATATTTTATTGAGCTTATGCTTGACCAAGTAGGAAGAGGCAATAAGGTTGATAATACATTCAACAAGCAAGCATGGACAGACATGCTTGCTTTATTTAATGCAAAATTCGGTCCTCAACATGGCAAGAGGGTTTTAAGACATAGATACAAGAAACTGTGGAAGTACTACGGTGATGTGACAGTTATTCTGAAACAGAATGGCTTTTCCTGGGACGAAACACAGCTAATGATCACGGCTGATAATGATGTTTGGGATGCTTATATTAAGGTATGGGTTTCTGCATTTATCTCATTAGCACATTACCTGCATATGCATAATATATTAATAATAATTGATAACTAAATGTAGGCACATCCTCATGCGCGAACATATAGAATGAAAACCTTGCCAAACTACAATGATTTGGTCTTAATATATGGTGAAGCAATTGATGAAGGAAATGTGAATAATGTGCCCCAGGAATATGACATCTCCAGAGCAACTGCTGGTGAGTACCAACTTTCTAACAGTAATTAAATTCACAATGTACATACACAATTGTATCTAGAGTCTGCTAGGGGAGTGATAATATGGCAACTGGAGATAAGGGAAGCTCATCAACATACTAATTTTATTGTTTTCAATTTATTTTATTTTGGACTATGAGAACCATGATAAGTTCATTAATCAACAATGAAAATCTGAGTTGCAGTGTTCACTAATGCCTTGGTCTCTCAAACATAAATCAATTCTTATCTTCCTTTTTCTGACCTGCTAGATTAGAAACTGAAGTTATGAATTAATGGTGCAATGCATTTAGGTAAATGCCACAATGTGATTGCCAGCATAGTTCATACATGAGATCCCAAGATTCTATTTTTTTTTTCTTTTGGCCAGCGTTTTCTCCCTAAGTTATATCTTTTAATTTACAGGTGAAGGGAAGAAAAGTGTGAATCCTGCTGGTGATCGTACAAGGACATTTTGGACACCACCAATGGATCGATATCTCATTGATTTGTTGCTGGACCAGGTCCATAGAGGGAATAAACTTGGACAGACATTCATAACACAGGCTTGGATTGACATGGTTGCATCATTTAATGTCAAATTTGGATCTCACTATGATAAAGATGTTCTCAAGAATCGATACAAACATTTAAGGAGGCTGTACAATGACATAAAGATTCTTCTTGAGCAGAGTGGGTTCTCATGGGATGAAGCGAGGGATATGATATCAGCTGAGGATAGCATTTGGGATGCTTATATCAAGGTGATTTCTTTTCCTTTCTTATTGACAACAGAGTTTTAGTGCGGCTTCTTACATGAAATACATGCAGTTACATCCAGATGCTCGATCATACAGAGTTAAAACTGTGCCAAGCTATCATAAATTGTGTGTAATATTTGGACAAGAAAGTTGTGATGGAAGATACAACAGATTGGCTCAAAATGTAGGCACTGATGGCGATGTAACTGTTTTAATGACCAGTTATGGTACGTATCATCTCTTGTGCTGGTTTAATAAAATGCTATAGTGGATGAGAGAAGTGTTGTCTAATAATAGTTTTTGTATGGTAAATATGGTGTGGTAATGAAAATTGAGTTGTCAAAAGAAATTAAATCATATTGGAAATAGTGAAGCTAAGACTTCCCTTTTCATTTTTTGTTTGTTGGTTAGCATTTTCTTTTTCCTAAACTAGGAGGTAGCATATTTTCTAACAGATAGATTAGCCCAATGAGCTTTGAAAGATAATAAAGGATGGAATGCAATAGGAACTAAAGCATTCATGTATCTTTTGTATATTCATGTTCTCTCATCGTGCAGGTAATGAAGAAAATGACCATTTTCCCATCAGTATTCATCACCTTGGAATTGAATGGACAGCCCCAATGGACCGGTTTTTTATTGACCTTCTGTTAGAACAGGTTCAAGAAGGAAACAAGATAGATCGCGCATTCAATGAACAGGCATGGATTCATATGGTTGAATCATTCAATGAAAATTTTGCTCTTCTATTGAACAAGAACATATTAGAAAATCGGTACATCTGCTTGATGAAACAATATGATGACATTAGTGATCTTCTCAATCATAGTGGGTTTGTTTGGGATGAAGCTAAGCAAATGGTTGTAGCAAACAATGATGTTTGGGAAGTTTACATTAAGGTGTGTTCATTACTCATTTGCTTTATTGTATATGCCATGACTTTCCTTTTGATCTTCCAATCATTGCATAACATCATGTGGTTGGAAGAGACTGCATACCCCATTAAAAGGGTTAGCAGTTGATATTCTTCTAAGTTATTTTTAGTATTATCAGTAGCATGCTGTTTACGTGTAAGGTCTTACAGGAACACCCCGATGCAGTCTCTTACAAGGATAAATTCTTGGGCAGTTATAGTGATTTGTGCAAGATTTTCAAAGATGATGTATTAGATGAAAGACCCAGTAGTCAGGTTCTAGGGGTGGAAACTGACCATAGTGCGCCAGGAGTTATTTTGGACAGAGCACCTGCAAACTTACAAACTCAAGGTGGGGACTTTCATTTATCCTATCAACACAGAAAGCGATCAACTGCAACACCAGACATAGGACGAGCAAGCAAGGCGCCAAGGACCAATCAGGGGATGCAGAAGATGCTTTCCAAGATGGCTGGTGCAGTCACAAGATTAGCAAGTCAGAAAGGAAATAAGAACTATTCAATAATAGAAGGTGCGGTTGACGCACTTCAGGCTATCCCGGACATAGATGATGAGCTTCTGTTGGATGCTTGTGATCTGCTAGAAGATGAGAAAAAAGCAAAAACTTTTTTGGCATTGGATTTTTCATTGCGAAAGAAGTGGTTGCTAAGAAAACTTCGATCATAGCAGCAGCCTTTCCTGTGTTTCGATTCTGAGAATTTTGATACATCCTTTCCCTTTCCTAGTTGAGTAGATTATTTATTCCTAGCTCTGCAAGGACCCTGAGTTCTTGTCCTTGCCTGATATGCATGGAGGCAAGGTTTTCGAAACCTGGTCCCAAATTTTGTAGCTTATGTCTATAATGATAACGTGCAGCTTTATAGGATGATTTTTGCCCCCACTTAAAACTAGTAGCATTACTCTTTTGATTGTAACCGGTTACTGAAAGAAATCAAGTTTTCGGGTTTGATCATATGACATGTCTTTGGTTGGTTAACTTGAAGGTAGCTGTGTAGGATGGATAGTGACGAACACCCTTCTTTTATTACACACTACCAAGGGGCACAGAACTGGTGATGCTGGTCAAAATCCATGCTGACAGCAAGAGACACCATCGACAAATAATTCTTAACACTAAACATAGATAAAGGGTATTTTAATTGATTTTTTTAGCTTCATATGCTCTCTTGGTAATACGAACTAATCAATGTTGAACCTTTATGATCTTCCTTAAAAATTATTTTAATGTTGCTGAAGGTTTTTTTTTATCCTTTTTCTCTGCAAAATGCAATAATAATCAAAGCATCAAAGAGAACCATTAAATTATAAAGCAAGGGAAATAAAAATACATTTTGCTACAATATGGTTCAACAAGAACCAGATTTAATCTCATAGGCTCCCACAAATGGAATTTCTGCACTTTAGCATTGTTTGTAACCGATTTTCGAATGGCAGATGTGCTGCAGCCTCCAAACACAAACCAAGGCACCTATTCATCTCGAACCAGACTACCGAGATGAGAAACCAACCGGGTCAAGAATAGCCCATAAGCAATGCTCGAAAAGAAAGCGGGGGTAAGGTATGCCACAAACTAAAAAACCTCATTTTATTCGCCTCCTCCTATCCCTATCTCTCTCTCTGCCTCTATCCCTATCGTGATCATCCCTTTCTCTGCTTCCGCTCTTTTCCCGACGGTCTCGCTCTCTATCTCTCCCCCTATCACTTTCCAGATCATGAGATCTATCTCTATCTCTATCTCTATCCCTGTGCTTTTCACGGTCATTAACTGAATCGTTTTCTCTATCCCTGTCTCTGTTTGATGATTTCCGTGGAGGGCTCTCACTTCGGCTCTGACTGCGATGCCGCTTTCTTGAAGAATCATGCGCATCATCTCGCCTTTCTCTCCTCTCTGACGATGTTCTTTCTGCAATTTCAATTATGTATAAACTATTAAGATGCACCTACATAATTATGTCTTTCAAAGTATCAGTATCTTGTCAGCCTGCAAAATAACTTACTTCTTCCTGAAATATCTTCACTAGAATCTGATAAACCATAATCAGATTCTAGCCGTTTCCGATGAGCTGCAACCCTTCTCTCAATATCCTCAGCACTTTTAATTCCCCGCTCCTCAAGGGATTCTCGATATTCTATCAAATCAACCTCCAGACGTCTCAACTTTTGCCTGTGGTAATATAAACACAATGAAGCAACAATAAATTAATGAGTGCATGAACAAATGCTGCCACATAGAGGACTTGATAAGAACAATGTCTCAACTTTTGCCTGTGGTAATATAAACACAATGAAGCAACAATAAATTAATAAGTGCATGAACAAATGCTGCCACATAGAGGACTTGATAAGAACAATGT